CTTACAAACCAAAATTAGACAGCTAATTTTTACATATTCTGAAAAAGGGAAATTTTGCGAATTTTTTGTTGTACGACTCGACCTGTAATTCCATACCCCTTAGAAGTACTTTCCTTATGAAAAAATAATGCGAGCTTGCCGTAGACTACGACGAATGCAGTCAATATTAGTCGTAACTAGTTTTACTGTTTAGTTCATCGGTCATTTGAGAAGAAAGAGGAATTTAGTTTTTTCCTAAAAATCCTCTATTCCTATGGTTTTCGTAGCAAAAATCTACATAAAATTTTTAAAAAGTTTAATTTTATAATCAAAACGACAGAACCGTTTGACATCACAAAGATTATGGCAATTTGACAATGTGACGGACGTGTCATTATGACGACACAACCCTAATCATTATAAAATAACATTAACGTCAAAATTGTCTGTCATCCAACCTACAGTAACTTTTCATCCGAAGAATGCCCTAACCAAGGTCTTCAACCTACAAAAACACCAAAAATCAACCTATCGCGGTGTTCGTTACAAGAAAACCCAGCCGAAACCCCCTACCGACGAAACGACCCCCCATCCAAATATCCGACACCATTTTTTGTAGGATTACAATTTGAATTAATTTCCGGCTTCCTTTAAATTAAAATAAATAAATATTGGTGATCAAAGAATTGAGACCGGATATTAAAAATTTTGTTCAAGATTGGTGAAAAAAGAAATTTTTAAATACGGCAAGGTTTTCAAAACATTTTTCTTTTGAAAGTTCGGGATTTTTTATTTCATTTTTTCCCGAAAAATTTGCAATCAACAAGGATTATTTAATTTTTTGGACAAATTCAGAAAAATCGATAAATTTTTATCAAAGAATTCGTCAAAAAAATCGCAAAAATCAACAAGAAACTTTTGAAAACTTAAAATAAGGCCTTTAAAATATGATCGGACGAAAATTTTTATTTTTCAACTTTTTTAATCTATTTTTTCGCATCAGTAAGGATGAAATACTTTTTCCTACAAAAATGCATGATTTGTTTAGTAAATATGAGTAAAAAAATAGTAAAAACTGATTTTCAAGAGTATCTTGCCTATGTCAAAAAATATTTGCCCCAAAACTTGTGGATGAAATGAATTGGGAAACGATTTCATTGATTTTCACTCATTAAATCACTTTGTAATTTGAGTTTACATTGCTCCGTTTTTCAAAAAAAAACCATCCCAAAAAATAAGCCATCCCACTTCAAACAATCCAAAAATTTTCAAAATTTGTAAACCTTCAATTAAAAATTTCTCAAAAAAAATTTTGCAGAGCGCATAAAATGGGCTAGAAAAGGGGCTTACAGTGCGGCGCAAAGTCGGTTCCGATGCCGGAACTCCTCGAACTTGATCTCTCCCTTCTCTCTTTTCTTCTCCTTCCCCTCAGGGGGTTTATTTTCCCAAAAACTGTTTTTAAATAAAAGCCGTGGGAGATTGGAGGGGATTGGAAAACGGTTTAATGTGACGTCAAAATCCACCCAAATTCATGTCACATTTTTGGGGATACCGGAACCCGGAATAGAGCTTGGGCTTGTGACCGAAAATTTTTGAGGTGCTACCGTAATAGTTGAAAGTAAGAGATAAAAAAATAAAGGGCAAATTAAAGACAAAAGAGGCAACCAAGAGCCAAAAATTAAAAAAATTTTTTAACAAAATTTTTGTTCAAAAATTTGCAATCTCACCTTCTAATAAAACTTATCACAATTGGTTGATTACAATTTCCTAACATCTGCGGACGATTTTTTAGCACACGGTACGAAACTATTGAAGACGTATGGACCATAAACGCCACAGAATTGGCAGTTTTTACGTATAAAAAGTTGGGAAGAGCAATATGGCGGGTCTTTTGCGGTTCATGAACCGAATTGCGATTACAACAGGTTTAAGCTGGCAAAAATTTATGAAAAGTTCAAGAAATTGTAAACAGATGTGTACGAATCGTGTAGGAAAAAAAGTTAATTGTCAAGTTAATTTGAGAATCAACTTCTTTAACCGTAAACGTACAAACAGTTGCATTTCATTTTTCGTTTTTTCGCACAAAATGTTTTCCTTCGTTACAATGGCCGTCTAATAAAATGAAGAGGCCCTTTTTGGAGAAAAATCGCATACCGTTTATAATAAACCTTAAAATAGTAACATATCGCTCCCTCGAAAAAATAAAAGTTGGTAAAATACGCAAAAAAAGGGTCGGCGACATTTTCTTTCCCTATGGAAAAAAAAAATTGTGTAAAATGAACTGAAAAAGAAAAAATGCCAAAGAAATATTCACAATTCCTGATGAAAACATACACAAAATCAAACTACACATCCAAAAAATTAAGACTCCAACGAAATGCTCGAATTAAAAAAATCGATTTCATTGGCTGTTCGTTAGAAAAACTTTCGCTTTTTGCGCCCTTTCGGTGCGACGTTTCCCCTCCGGAGGTCAAGCACGTGAAGGGAGCGTTCAAAGACGTCGCCGATCCGCGATCCGCCAGCGGGCATAAATGCACGAAATTGGAAGGCGACTTCCAAGCATTTATCCCGCTAATTGAAGCTGGAAAGTCGGCTCGACGCAACGCTGAGCAACCTTCCACTTTCTACATATTACAAGGGTGAAGGTGGGGTAACATATTACAGGATGAAAGTGGGGTAACATTCGGGTTACGAGCAGTGAGAAGGGGAAGAGGAAGTAAGCCGAGATAGTTCAAAGGAGCAACTGTTAGAATATGGTTCTTCCAATCATGTCAGCAGCAGCTTTATCATCAATGGACGTAAACCTTTACTGGTCGACACCAAAGAATCGTATTGTTACGGAAAAGTTGTTTAGTATTTGGGATAGATAAATATTATTCATCTTCCCGGATATCAACTTCAAGTACAAAAACTTAAGGTTAACATTGTGTTCGTGTATAATACTGATTTTTCGCCCATTTGACCATTTCCGGACAAGCCGGCACCTCCCCTGCAGTAACGAAAGAGGGTTTCCTAGTGAGTAATAATATAATAATGGTTCAGGTCATCGAAGCTTTATCTGGGACTTGTGTGAAAAATGTCCTTATAAATGTTATGTCAATTGGGGGTACTTTTAACGACATTTTTGTCACAAGTCCCAAATAAACCTTCGATAGCCTGAACCATTATTACATTATTACTCACTGGTGTACCCTCTTTCATTTGTGCAGGGAGGTGCCGACTCGTCCGGAAATGGTCAAATGGCGAAAAATCAGTATTATACACGAATACAATGTTCACCTTAAGTTTTTGCATGAAGTAGATATCCGGGAAGATGAATAATACTTATTTATCCCAAATACGAAACAACTTTTCCGTACAATACGATTCTCGCTTTGTCCATGCAACAGAATGCCAAAATCGAATCGCCCATGCACGTCGGGACGTTGACTACTCGTAAAAAAACGATTTGCAAAAAATTATGACCAACTTGCATCATGCTAAAAGTATTTTTGACCCCATTCACTACCTATCGCTAATTTCCCTTCAGCCAATTTCCGCCCTCTAATGTGCGGAGTTAAATTCGCATAACCCAATAAACGTTGCAACGAAAAGCGTTCGGGAAATGAATCAGATCTCTGCGAAGCGTCATTCTTGCGCGGATTCGTAAACCATGGCGGCGGCGCTTGGCGGAAGAAAAGAGAGAAGCCCTGAAGATAATTGAAAAAGAGATTCGAGATGTCATATCCGAATAACCAGCTGCGTGACATTTGACAATATGAGTTTCAGATGAACAAAATCCTAGCATGTTGCCATAAGAATTTAACGAGAGTCTATATTGAGCGGAGAGCAGGTAAACAATGTAAGACTAAGTCAGCATGGATAATAAGAAAATCGTTATTACTTGCATCATATTGGCAATAATTTGAAATACACTCTACTACGAACATCTATGCTCTACGTACTTCAAAACAAGCCCATCATCTGGCAATGGCACCGATTTTGGAGCCTCTTATCAATTTTTCTTAACAACAAGGTCATCATTAAATAAAAGTAGCTGTACTGGCCATTTAACGCAACTGAGAAGGTTCAGCAATGGCTAGGAACAAAAATTAGAGTGTTCTCTTTGAAGCTTTTCCACGCCATATTCACAATTTATTTTTATTTCGCCATTCCTGTTGCCTACTACAATATAAAAATCGTCCAAAAAATGGATAAAACCTGCTAGAAGCAAAAATTATTAATAAATATGACTAAAAAGACTCAACACCTTTTCTGTTGCAACGAAAATTCCAACGAAAAAGATAAAAAAAACGTAAAAGTAAAACCGCGAAAAGTGAAAGTCTCCGGGAAAATTAGGTCGGATGATTCTCCCGACTTTTCTTATCCGTTGATGATAAGACCGAAACATTTTCGCTTTCAGCCGATGCTAATCGCAGGTCACCTAGATTCCGGCGATGGAAAGCGAAAGTTTCAACTTTCCATCACATGACATCAAGCTGTGAATTCGAGAGATTCGGGCTTGAATGGCATCACTAGTAACGAGTAGAAAAGGTTGAAACCCTTTAACCGACAGCTACCACATCTATGTGTCAGTTTTTGCAATCGGGCGCAGTTTGAGACCAAAAAGGTTCAAAAAACCGTGATGACCATCATGGATAATATAATTTCTCTGTTAGAATTACTGGAAACGCAATAAAATCATAATCCAGGACCTCTGAAGTGTATTTCAAGTAATTGGACCTCCTCTCAAGCAATCCATTACCAATTCTTTTTATCGATATTCATCATGAATAACAACTTATCCAAAATTTTTTCTCCGATATTCCAAAATATCGACGACGGCAACAAATTGTAGAATACATCAAATTGAAAAGCTTGCAGATTCAAACGCTTTTCCTCTCGAAAAACGAAGATTCTCGAAAATTCGTCGCACTGACGGGTTTTCTGGACAATCTCATGAACCTAAAAATTTTGGCGTTCTTCTCCGAGCGTGTGCACTCGGTCGATAACCTTTCAAAGGCCCGCTTGTACAATTATCAATGTCTTCGACCTTTTCTTCTGCGGAAGAGAGCAGTTTGGATCCGGGAGGTAATTTTTTTTTGATGTTATTCTTCACCTAAATTTAGGCAGAACCATTTGGTGATTGCGTAGAACAACTCGAAATTGCGCGTGTAGCTGGGCAGTGGTGTCTGGTAGCTGAACAATCTGACGGCTGAGTGTTTCCGCCAAGTTTATTTGGTCGGAAATACCATTTTAGATATTGCTCATAAGGAAAACAAATTATAGTTACCGCGCTGCGAATATTGCGGGAAATGAATGGAAGTTGCGTAAATAGCTAGAGATTGAAGTCTGTCGGTTTACAAAATTTTCGGCCATCGATTTTTACCAGTTTTTTAAGATTTAAAATATCATTTTAGACAATGAAGAAGATGAAGATTCCGAGGACCAACGACCAACAATTCCGGCAAAGCGCGGTAGGCCGAGGTCGAAGTCAGCGAACGTCTTCTATGCCCGCATGTCCGCGACGCCGAGAAAACGCAGAAGAACTGACGATCCATGTCTTCTTGATATAGCATCATCCACCTCGTCTTCAACAGCTGGTGACTACTTCGACATAAGTTTTCCGAAACGGGAACCGTTTGACCCATACGAAGCTTTGCCTGGAGTGTCACCTTTCGATCCGTGGGGGGATCCTTATCAGGAGCTTAGGGATGAATATATTAAAGTTGAATATTGCCGAGAGTTGGTAGAGCCATATGCACCACGGTTTGAGGCGCAACAAGACGCCAAGGCCCGTTTGAGACAAGTATTCCAGGAGAGTTTTGTGACCATGCCAGTCATTCGAGCCGCCGAGCAAGCGGAGAGCTATTGCATGGTTTGCTGCTCTGATTTGCTCGCGGGATGTCCTCGCTATTACGATCGCAAGGTTTGTGAGTAAGTATTTCCCTATTTTTTTTTCTCTTTTTAGTCAATTTCACGCGAAGTCATCGATTTTTTATCGATTTTCCCATGGGATGTCTAGTATAAGTTTAATACAGTGTAATTATAGAGATTGTTTCAATAAAATGGAAGGAATGTATCTCAAAATGCGTCCTAACGGTCCAAAGGACATTTCATCGATTGCGAGAGGCGCTATGGCACTGCTCGGTCATCTCAATGTTGCTCATGAGGAGATGGCACAGGACGGAGAGCCTCAAACTCTCCCAGTTCACTACGTTCCCAGTATTGAAGATGACGGAGAGCTTGTCGAGAGGGAGGTTGAGGAGTATTTTGATCGTCCAGGGAATGCATTCAACGACCCAAACGGCTGTGGCCGATGTGCTTTATACCGCAACGTTCCGAATGGCTTGTGTTCGGCTTGCAAAAGTTACAGCAGTGATGAGGAGGTTGAATGTGTCTTCTGCAGGAAGAAACTCATCGGGAACCCACGTTTTTATTATGGAGAACGGATTTGTGGGTGAGTTTTTTGCAGTTTTTGTTTTTTCTTTAGGCCGACTTCTTGGAGAGATGATGCAACATCGATCTGAAGCTCTGCGGGATTTAGAAAGTATGCGTGTATAAGATCCGTGCCGATTTTGAAAAAGCCAGTTAGAAAATTATATCGCATTTATAATTTTTTTGGAAAATTCGCAAAATTTTTGAAGGTAAATTAACCGAAGTGCTTTCAGAAAGTGCCGTGCGGACCCATTCGCCCTTATGACACAAATCAAACCCCTTCCGCCCCCTAGCGAGTCCAGGAAAATGTCAAGAAGCAGCACCAGCACTTCTTCTCGAAACACCACCCCAGAATTCAGACACGAACCATCACCCGAAGAAGTCGAGAAAATCAAGCATGAACAAGATCGAGCCAGAGAAGAACGCAAGCATTTGCGTGAGGTCAAACGCGAAAACAGTTCGGATTAAATCAACACTTCAAAATAAAATTTTCCTCATTTTGTCCAACAATACGTTCGTAATTTTATATTCAATGTTGTCTATTTTTCGCTATGACTAATTATGATTTGATCAATAAATACGAGAGAGAAAAAGGTTTATTAATTCGTCAAAAACAACAAAAAATTATTAAGATTTAGAAAAGTTGGGGTCAAGTGTAATATGTGAGGGAAAACGATATAAATCGTCGTGGAGAATATAAATTTTGACAAAATAGGGGTTAGACATCCAACTAAACACAAAACCAACCTCATTTCGGAAGCGCAAAAGGGTGAACAACATACATAATTCGAAGAAAACCTCAAGAAGACCAAGTGCAACATAAAAAGCAATAGAAATCTTTCAAAATTCGAGATCAGCGGGACAAAATATGATATTGCAATTACTGATATGACCTGATAAGTCGTTTGAGATTACATTAGACAACAAAAATTACCTTATTCTTCGTTAACTTTGACGACCAAGTCCAACATGTAATTCATGCATTCCTGAACGGCAATTTCGCGTTCAGTTTTGTACTTGCATTTGAAGGTCTTTGGAGGGGTCTTGATCTTCAATACTCTCTTTTCTCGACGAGCTGGACAGATCACTGGAGTCTGGACATCCGAATTAAAGTAGACCACTCCATCACCAAGTGCAACATTCTGAGGTGAAATCCCCGATGGTGGGCTCAGCATTTGCTGTTCCAAGGTCAAAATAGCCGCTTTGATGTTGTCTGGATGATATTGCGGGGGCTTCAGCGGTCTTGGAGGAGGTTTATGGACCTTTTCGACCTTGTACTTGCCATCCGAGGTGTTGGCCGAGGAAACACAGCTATTTTGATAGTACCCTGCTCCCGAGTGATCAAATCCGGAGCTCTGGAGAGTACCAGTGACCTCATTCTCTCGTCTGCCGTCATTTCTAGGCTTTCTTTCTCTCACATTTCGACGAATTTCGTAGTCCCTTGGCATCTGTACTCTTCTTCCGCCTCGAGCACATCTCGGAGGTCCTCGGAAAACATCGGCAAAGAATTGATTCTCAAAATCAGTAAACTTCAGATCATCCAACACACTTTCTTCTTCTTTGACAGCCATTTTTGGGGACTCTGCAGGATAAAATTGAGATCTGTTGGGCTTTAAGATTGGTGATCCATTCGACTTGAAGTCTTCGGAAGTGGTCTGCTCAAACTTTGCCAAGTTACCTAAAGGCATAATACACCATAAAAAGTCACTTACCGTCAGCCAGACTTCTGTCGAAATCACTTTGAGAGAAATTTTGGGATTGCTCGAGGAATGTGTTGTTGGTGGAACTTTGATGACTTTTCCAGGTTCTATCACCGTCATAATTTTCTCTTCGTTGTCCTGGCAGTCTATTTTCCTTGTGTTCCGAATCCCCTGAGGCATTGATCGCTCTTTGCGCACGCTTCTGCTGCTAAAACCATTTTTTTGTAATGTGTAATATGGAAAAAACCCCCCAAAATTTTGACTTTTACCCATCTTTGTGACTCTCAAACTTCACAACACACTTCAAATTAATATTTTGTCCCCCCACTCAATACTTTCACCAATTTCAACGTTTATTTTCTTTCTCAGCTCTTTCATAAGTACTGTAATATCTCAAAAATCAGACCAAAACGCACAGACTTTACAAATTTAGACCCGTTTTTAGACCAAAAAAGACGCTTTAGCAGCAAGACTAACAACAAAACTCAACAATTTCAACAAACTTTGACCACGTCCCTACTGCAAGATGCAAGACACAACTTTAGGCTCTACCTCGACTTTCTCCTGGTGTATTTTACGCAATTCATTGATTCTTTTTGTAACATCACCAAATTTTTCTTCTTCTTCCTTCTTTTCTTTCATTTTTCTTTCTTCTTCTGAGATGTCACTATCGACCTCCGATGATCCCTTTGGCTTGGTGGAGTATCTCCGCAGCCCCACATAGTTGTTAACACATCCAATCAGGACCGCCTTGTTGATTACTTGGACTACAATCGACTTGTCAGGATTTGAAAGGTTGACTTTGCATAAAGGAGCAAAGTTCTTCATGTGGAAGTTAACAATCTTAATAATGTCCTCGAAACTGATCTTGTCATTGCATCTGGCCTAAAATTAGAAAGAGTATGACCGATTAGATCTATCAGGTCACAAAAAAAGAGAAAAATATTCACCTTGAACTCCAGATTGAAGGTATCCTTCTTGTCAGTAGCAAGTCCAAAATGTCTTTCGATAACCTTGCCGATTTCTTGCTCCAACACTGCCAAATCAACTGAAGTCACATTCTCAAATGGCACACAACGAGCCACGTATCTGCAGCATCTCATGGTTTGACATTTCTCGATGAACCGGCTTCCCAATTCGTAAAGCTCGGATACTGAACATGGCATTTGAAAGAAGATCAAATTCTTGACGTTGGTGGGAAACTAAAGACAAAATAAACTCAAATGAACCGTCAACTCACCTGTTTGGGTCTGATGTATGTCTTCTCCAAATTTTTGCCTTTCTTTTCGGACAATTCCGCACAAGCGGCGGCAAGTTCATCAGCTGCATCAACTTTTCCTTCATGCTCCTCTTGGACCTCAGGTTTACTGGAATATATTCTTCCGGCTGCCTTCTCCGAGTCGACAAAGGCATCAAGAAGGTTGTAGAATTCGCGAACAGCTCCTTTCTCATTTCCCTCGACCGAAATCAAAACTCCAACTGATCCATGGGGAATGCCCGCTTTTTGATGGGGTTTCTGCCAGTGTTTCTTCACCTTGCTTTCATTCATTATTCACTAAAACAGCAAATTTTAATAAGTTTTTAGCATCTAGAATGGCTTCGTGGAAACTGGACAGAGTGAAATTGGACAGAGTGAAACTCGACAGATTTTTTTCACTGCAAAAAATAATTATTTGATGATTCAATATTGACATTTCGTACGATTGCAGCGAAAACCTGTCCAATTTCACTCTGTCCAATTTCACCCTGTCCAATTTCCACGCTCTGTCCAAATTATTTCTGTCCAATTTCACTCTGTCGAATTTCACTCTGTCCAATTTCCACGAAGCCTCTAGAATCTCGCGAAAAATGAAAAACGAGAACTCGCGAGCAGGGGTGGTCAGCAGACCCTATTTTTCCGATTTTCGGCCCGCGGCCCGGCCCGTCTAATTGACCGGCCCGGCCCGGCCCGTCTAGTCTTTTTCCAGGCCCGGCCCGGCCCGGCCCGTGACGGGCCTGGCCCGGCCCGGCCCGGCCCGTGCAGGCCCGTCTATAGAGGGTTCTGCGAACTGCGCCCAGGCTCGGGATCTAAACTGAGGCAAAAAAGGCGTTGATCTAGCTAGTAAAGGATCAATGTGATAGTTTTGTGGTTATAATGGAACTAGAGACTTGTAAACGTTTTAGAACTTGAGAAACAGCAACTATAACAACATCAATTAATTTTCCCGGCGCGAAAACAATGAATGCCAACGGTTTGGCATTGTATTTTAGACGGGCCGGGCCGGGCCGGAAAAAACCCCAGGCCCGCGGCCCGGCCCGGCCCGTGACGGGCCCGGCCCGTTTGTCAATTTCCATTTTTGAGCCCGGCCGGCCCGTTTGGGCCGGGCCGGCCCGGGCCGGGCCGGCGACCACCCCTGCTCGCGAGCTTGGATAAGAAAAAACTTGACCCGTACAGGTTGAGTCAAGTCTGACATTTGGGAAGAAAAAGCCACAGTCGACTCAATGTGTCGACTCTTTCTTTGTCCAATTTTGTACAGTAGGACCAGGGGTGGTCAGTGGGCCGGCCCGGCCCAAACGGGCCGGCCGGCCTCAAAAATGGAAATTGACAGACGGGCCGGGCCCGTCACGGGCCGCGGGTCTGGGGTTTTTTCCGGCCCGGCCCGTCTAAATTACAATGCCAAACCGTTGGCATTCATTGTTTTCGCGCCGGGAAAATTAATTGATGTTGTTATAGTTGCTGTTTCTCAAGTTCTAAAACGTTTATAAGTCTATAGTTCCATTATAGAACCACAAAACTATCACATTGATCCTTTACTAGCTATATCAACGCCTTTTTTGCCTAACAAGGGAAGTACCCGAAGTGCGACGCTCAGATTTTTATAAAAATTGGCATAGATGGAGATTAGAATTTTCTTATTCGATTGCGAACATCCTAGCTCGCGCTTTGCAGAATCCGCCGAGAAAGAAGGGCCGGAACATCGAAAAAATCTTCAAATGCCGGCGAATTTCCCTGCAAATTCTCTTGATCTTGGCATTCCGTTCCAGGAGAAAAATATTTTTTCTCGCAAGAAATTTTTTCTTGATAATGTTCAAGACTATTTTGTTGCTTTTATGTGGAATATGGTGTTATTTTCACTTTTTTACACTTGATTATAGCGCTATTAATTGGATTGTCGCCATCCGAGGGGTAAAATGTTTCGTCCTTTGACGAATTTATACAGTTTTTCCTCTGCTGATGGGCAAACCACTCTAATAGTTGCTTTAAATTTGTTTAGGAGACATGCAAACGTTCTACGGTCGCGTAGGAACGTAGTCATAAGGTAAGTGTTACAAACATTTTATTTTTTCACTATTTTTCAGTTTATGCCATTTCAGAAACAAAGTAAAGGTCCCAAGGTGTTTCGTCAGTGTTCCGATGGTATACATTCGCTGTTGTTGTTGTTCAGAATTTGCTCACTGAAAAATAATAAAGTTTTTGTAACACTTACTTTAAGATTATGTTCATACGCGACCGTAGAACGTTTGCATGTCTCCTAAACAGCTTTAAAGCAACTATTAGAGTGGTTTGCCCATCTGCAGAGGAAAAACTGTATAAATTCGTCAAAGGACGAAACATTTTACCCCTCGGATGGCGACAATCCAATTAATAGCGCTATAAGACGGGCCGGGCCGCGGGCCGAAAATCGGAAAAATAGGGTCCGCTGACCACCCCTGAGAAAAAGCCACAGTCGACTCAGTGTGTCAACTCTTTCGTTGTCCAATTTTGTACAGTAGGACCGACAAGTTGAGGTGGACAGTTGTTGGTATAAGCTTTGATAAATGCACTAGAAATGGAACTTTTTCTTTTTTACATTTTTTTTAAAAACCTTTCTCGCAAAAATGACTTTTTACTGAACTCAATCATTGCAACAGCAAGAAATGTTGCTAACTTCAACTGAAAAACAATAAATTTAACTAGCATTACTATAACAGTGTAAAATACAGTCGAAGTAAGCCAAAAACAAGTTTTTGGAGACAAAAACGGCGAGAAGAAGGGTTGACTCAAAATGAGCTGATGTGTCAAGTCTTCCCATCTTTTTCTTTCTTTTCTGATGCACGAGCAAAAAAAGAACTTCTTTTATCTTTGTGGGGTCGAAATTGGAGAGGACGTCGTAAGGCGAGCGGAAAAACGGGCTTGGGGCCTATTTTCCATTCATTTTCTGAGGAATTTACCATCCGGATAATGCGCAAAAGACAAAATGCCCGTCGAGCTGGAGTAATGGCCTATTTTACCTCGTTCTTTGGAGCTCCGTATAGGGAAACCTGTGGTCCGAGGCTGATTTTGTTTTTTATTATTTGCAATTTCGAAAGCAGTGTGTAAAATGGCGGGTTTTTACAAACTTCGGACTTTGGTGTAGATGGAGTGATAAAAATGTTGACAAACCGACGAAATTTGACTTGTAAATGAGCGTTTTTTGAGGTTAATTGGACTCTTTATGACTCACTATATCTCTCAAAGATTTTGTCTCTAGTTTTAGCGGTTTTTTCTACCAAAAAATTACGTTAATTATGAGAATATTCGAGCATTGCCTGTTTATGTAAAAAAAATAATAAAGCAAGATATAAAAAGATAAATTCTTGTTTCAGCTCGAACATGGTGGACGATGCTGCGCTTCGGCGGCACCAGGAACTTGAACAAAAGCGTGCCGAGCTGGCCAGGCTCAAAATGGAACGTCAGATGAGGACTGCAGGTCGTCAGACTCTACCAGCTTCCGCCGCCTCGAATGGTGTGAATGGATCTTTGCAAGATAATGGTAATTGTTTTTCTTCTATTGTGTTGGTGTTTACTTTTTCTGCGGCCTATGAATCAGAAATTCGTTCATCACAGCCATGGATAATTTAAATTTTCTTCAGGAAATGGTATAAGACAAGTGTTGTCCACACAAAACATGGACGACTTGCTGGCAGAGGTCGGTATAGCCCCTGCGCCGAGTTTGCCGATGAATGCGTCGGCTCCGAACTTCATGGTGAATGGTTATGGAAAAGTAGGCGACGATGCGTCTAGTGAAGAACCTGTTGCTTTGGTTTGTGTTTTTTGGCCTTTTATTGTGTGGACTTCTATTTTGTGTTCTTTCTATCGTTTTTTCTTCGGCGTTTCTTTATGTTTGAGTTGATCTATTATTGTGATATTACTCGTTTTGAAAAAAATCTTTGTAGGACGCCAATTTGAATCGCCGGCCGACGGCATGTGAGATTGTCCACAACTCCAGTATTAGTGTTCACCCAAAGAATGATGTTAAATACTCCAAAGTCACACAAACAATGGATATTGACAGTCACATGGACAACTTCAGTACTGGCTCAGCTGATGGATTTGAATTTGATGACATCAGTGTGGATGGAAGGCATGACACTATCGGTGATTTGGATCTTGATGGAAGTCTGGCAATTGACAAGATTCTGGGGAAAGTCAGAACAACCGAGCCTGTAGGTTTATATTATTTTTGGTTAGAACTTTAGGGGTTTCGCATATGAGTGATTTTCAAGCCTGAAACTGTCGTCTGGGTGTTTGAGAAGACTTATTTGAGGGCTGAGTTTACATGAAACTTAATAATTTTTGTATTTTTAATTTCAGGCCGAAGAGAAACACGAAGAAAAAGAACATGTTCTGAAGGCCAAGAAACTACCTCCCCTCACAGAACAAGAGAAAGAGAAGATCCTTCATGACGATGGCTTCCAAAAGTTTGTCCTCAGAGCTTCAAGGCTCTTCGAACGGGCCTTTGCCGGTGATTCCGTGGCCGATATTGCGACCGACTATCAGTCGGACATGGATAACATACATTCGGACGCTTTGTTGACACTGAAATCAACCTTCAATTGCGAAAAATACCTCCAGAATCAAAGAGGATACGGTGTGGAGTTTTGCGATGCCCATCCTGAACTAATGGCGGTGCTCGTGAACGGAGAACCGGATGGAAAAGGTGGCCCAACAGGTATAATCAACCTCTGGAATACGGTTTATCCCACTCCAAATCCAGAGTAAGTTGAGTTCAAGAGTTTTTGATATTGTTTCGGAGTTTAGGCTAGTTTTCCACGCCACCGCGAAGGTTCGATCAGTTTGTTTTTCACGCTTCCACCCAAAGTTGGTCCTTGGCGGATGTGAAACGGGACAATTATGTGTGTGGGACATGCGAAACAACAAGAAGATTCCGGTGTCGAGGAGTCAAATCAGCGCCAGAGGACATACCCAGACGATAAATGGGATGCATGTGGTTGGAACACACCATTCTCATAACCTAATGACCACATCCGTGGACGGTGTCATCTGTTGGTGGAGCTTGGATAATATGCATTCGCCGGTCGAAAAAATCTCGGCTTCTGGAGTCCCTACGAAAAAACAGGTAAGTAGATGGGCCTAGAAAGCATTTGGAGAGGCGTTTGAGGAGGGAGAGACATTAATTTATATTGATTTAGCTGTCCATCATGTCTTCGGATATCTTCCTCAACGGATTCGACAAGTTTATTCTGGGTGGCGAAGATGGTTGCCTATATTTGGGAGAGCGTCATGACGCCCAAGGACAAATGTCACGCGAAATTAACGGTGAGTCCATAGGAAATTTTAGTTTTATATTAAACTAGGTAGTATAATATGAGGTTGATGTTTTTTATCTCGATTTTTTAGTCCATGACGGCTCAGTGCAATGCGTCGCCCTCCATAAGACTCCAGGACCGGCGGATTTTTCGAATTATTGCCTAACCGGCTCGATGGACTTTGATATGCACCTCTGGAATCTCCAGGAACCCTCCGAACCGGTCCTTTCCTTCCGTCATAAGCATGGATACACATCCATCACGGACATTAAATGGTCTCCAATCCATCCAGCGGTCTTTGTCTCGTCTTCACTAAACGGCAAATTCTATTTGTGGAATCTGAACACGGACACGGAGGATCCAGTGGCAACGATGGACTTTGGCCAGCCAATCCAGCGAGTTTGCTGGAGCAAAGATGGCCATCATGTGGTGGGATTGGGCTTCGACGGCAGCGCACAGTTCTACGAAGTCCACGAAACTTTGAAGAATGTAAAACATTCCGAATGGGATGTCATGTCCGGGTAAGAGATCAGATGTCTAGTGTAATGTCTATTTTGGTGATAATTGAGGAAATTTTTGATTTTTTGGTGTTTGTAACTGTTTCAACATTAAAAATAGGAAATTATAAATTTGTTTAGAGGTTCATAGAGTTTTATATTTTTTGGAAAATATTGTTTTAGACCGGATTTTGGCCTAGGGTAACATAAAATTTTCATTTTTTCCGATTTTTAACCGATTTTTACTTGAAAATTGAGATGAAATGTGCTTTTTATAACTTGATGACGATTTCAGAGTCCTCTATGAAGCCCTCCAAGACTCGAAGCCAGTGGATTTTCAAGGCAAATCCTTCCCAAGAAGAATCTCATCTCAACAGGTTTGACCCCGCACTCTTGAACGGTTCATTTTGACGATGAATCCGCCCCAATTTGTGTAATTATCCAGTAGAACAAGAGTGGAGAATAAGTTATTCGAAGTCTACTTTGTATTTATATTATCCATGAAGATTAATGAAATCTTCTGCGATTTCTGAAATCCTCATAATTGGCGCGCTTTTTTAAATCCGTTTCCTGCGAAATAGCTTGCTCAACGCCTTGTTTTGTAAAATACGCATGGAGGAATTTTTTGCAGAAGATTTGAAATTGAGAAATTTTATTTTTTTGCTATATTGTCCATGTTTCTTGATATTTTTTGACGATTCCCCTTGATTTCTACCACCATCCGACGTGTAAAACCGTTGATCCCCACCTAAAGTGCCCTTTCAATGAATAATTTACGATTTTTCTTTTCCTAAGATACGCTTTTTTAAGTATTTTTCTGACAATCCAAGCGGGCTAATTGTAATTAGAAAAATCCCCCTAAAATACGCCGTATAATCGATTATCATTCTTTTGTATGAATAAATTATAATATACGATTGGATTTTAAACCAAGTACTGTTTGATTACAGTAGGAAGTTATTTGTTTTGAGGTGGATTTTGATGTTTTTATAGTGCCTAGTGCAATATAAAAATTTATTTTTTACGGGATTTATTTATGGATTGTGAAGTTGTTGGTTTATGGGATGTTTTAAGTGATGTTTGAGTGATTAAATACGAATTGAGATACAATGTTTAATGATTTTTACCTAGTGTAATGTAAAATTTTGATAATTTTGCGAAATTGATGCCTATTGTAAATTGGAGTGTTTTATTCTTTACAAAAGTTTTGATTTTTCTTTATAATTTCTATTTACTTCCATAATTTTTTTCCTTTTTTGTAATATCACTCAATTTCTCCCTACTTTTTAGCCATGGTGCTGACAAATTCCAAGCCGGCCCCGAAAACGGCCCCATCCCTCCAAATTCAGCCCAAAACTGGTGCTCGTTTGGATGGGGACAACCTCGGACTTCTCGGAGAATTTGTTCGAAAAGACCCCGAGTCTTATAAGGATGATTTCGATGAGCAAATGACCCATTTCGTCGAACTCGGTAAACTCCTCCAAATCCAGCCCTCAATGCATCGAATGGACATCCAGCCCCTGTTGGAGTTGACCACTTTCTTGTCGGGTGTCGCTTTTTGCTATCCAGGTATGTTGGACTTGATCCTTTCCGAAGTTTTGGTTTTTAGATAGTTGAAAAATGGAAGTTATAGGCCCAGTGTGGGTTGAAATTTTATAGGAGAGTGGTTTTGGACCTATAAAGGCATAAAATATGGATTTGGGTTTATTTTTTGCTTTGTTGGTATTCAAGTTATCTTATACTCGATGTTTTTTGACGTTTTTTGTTGATTAGGTCGTTCTATGCGAATGTTTTGGACTCAGTAAACTCTGAAATTCCTTTTGGGAGATCTTTCATTACGTATGAGGCTTTACTTTTGCTTTAGCACCATTTTTTTCAATTTTTTGAGACTACTTTATATTATACTTGATTTTTTTGCCATTTTTGGCTTCTCACATCCAAGCAAATTTTATCCCAAGACAGTAAATGGACTATATTTTCAGAGAGTGCCAAGCTTTTCGGCGAAAATTTGGATCAGACCCTCAGGGCGCAAGGAAATGCCCTAGACCCACATGTCCGCTTGGCCTTCATAAAAGCGGTGGTTACTCTCAGAAATCGGAACCTAATTGATCAGGAAAAGACTCTCAATTTGTTTTTTGACCTGCTCAAATGCGAAGACAAACCATTGAGGTATGAATTTAAAAAAGATTACGGCTTTTTATGTTGTACTTGCCACTTGGTCAAAAAAATTTTGAAAAAAAGTTGTTTTTCATTTCAGAAAGTTCCTTCTGGGTGCGATTATTGGGTTCATCAGACGACAACACAAGAAATTCAATCGAGCCGACCCCAAGTTTCAAGCATTTGTTTTTGCCAAGAGCAAAGACAGCCGCGCAATTATTGCCCGATGCGCTGAATTGATCCTAATTGACGCGTATAGAAGACAATTCTGGAGGGATGCCAAGACTGCAAATGCAATTTCGCAGTGCATCTTCAACAAAAACACAAAAATTCAGGTTATTTTTTGTTTATTTTTTGTTGAAATTTTAGGGTACTATGGGATTGCGTAATCTAAGGTCTTACGTATACCGCGGTATACCGTAGACAATTGTAATCGAAAATTTGGCTCGGTTTTGGCAAAATTGGTGAAAAATTTTTGCCATTTTTTTTAAATTATTTTACTCAGAACTTGCTATGGATAATATAATGTTTGTAAAAATAAATCGAAATTTTAGGTCACGGCAATGCGTTTCTTCCTGGGAAGCTCGGAACAGGAGAACGGCGAAGGATCGGAGTCGGATTCGGAATCGGACAACGAAAAAGATGACCACAAGACATTGAAAGAAGTGGCCACTGCCTTCCGTCACACAAAGAAGACCAAGAAACGAGCCAAACAACTGGAAGAAGCCAAGAAGGCGATCAATAAAGACAAGAAGAAAAAGAAGGATAAAAACAGAAAGAACTGCAATCTGGAGGCGATGAGGATGATATATGACCCACAGACGTTGTGCGACAGATTGTTTTCAGTACTTGAAGGTGAGATTTTTTTGTTTTGTGGCTGATTTTTAGGCGGTTTTGAAGGAGAATGGGTATTCTGAAGGGAGGGGGTTGCAAACGAATATTGGGAAATTTTTATATTAACCATGAGAAAAAACTTGATGAAAATCTCAATTTTTTTCGGTAAAGCGGAGGTTTTGGGTGTGATGGAGGAGCTATAGAAGAGGTGAAATAAATTAATAACAATTTCGGAAAGATTATGGGGAATTTTTGATGTTATCCATGACAAAAATTTTTGAAGTTGTAATTTTTACTGAAATTAATTACATTTTTAATTTCTGAAAAGGTAATTTTTTTGTGTTTCGAAGAGTTTAAAGTGGAATTTTAGGCAAGAAAAATGAGCGCTACACCGTCCGCCTCCTCTACATGGCCCTGGTTGCCCGCCTGATCGGTGTCCACCAACTCCAAACCCTCGGTTTCTACTCGTATCTCCACCGATTCCTGCAGCCCAGACAACGAGAAGTGACCCGGATTTTGCTGTACGCCGCCCAAGCCTGCCACGAATTGGTGCCCACGGATCTGGTGGAGGGACTGGTCAAAGTCATCTCCCACAACTTTGTCTCCGATAATAACACCCCGGAGGCGATGACTGTTGGGTTGAACGCAATTCGCGAGATTTTTGCCAATTGCCCCGCTGCAGCGAGCCGGGATGTGATCGAGGATTTGGCGGAGGTGAGAGGAGCTTTTGGAAGGGGGATTTTTTGGGATTTTGAGGACTTTTTTTTAAATACAGTGGGGGACCTATTCCAGTGGCACAAAACGTACCATTTTGCATCCAGGAAGCATCAAAAATGTGGCAAAATACCTCCTTCTCCAAGTGAAAAAACTCGGATTTCAAAAGCGCGCCCGCTCTTTTTGTGAGGAACAAGGTCGCGCCCTTCAAAAAGAAGTTTTTTCACTTGGAGAGGGAAGCATTTTGCCACATTTTTGATACTTCCCGGATGCAAAATGGTACGTTTTTTGCCACTGGATCAGGTCCCCCACTGTACATATATGTCTCTAAAATTACTTTTTTTACTGTCAATTTGCAAGACATCCCTTTTTTCTGTTGCAAAAATTAGTTTCATTATTTATTTTGATCATTTTCAGTACAAAAACTACAAGAATAAGAACGTCTCGATGGCCGCCAGAGGCCTGATTCATCTTTTCCGCGCTGTAAATCCCACCTTGCTCCGCGGCAAATACCGCGGACGCCCCACGGAAGGCCTCGAATTGGCCGAGGAATTTGGCCAAAAAACAACCTTTGACTTTTTGCCCGGCGCCGAGGTCCTCAATGAAGAAGAAGATGAGAAAACAGAAGAAATAAAGGAGGAAAAGAAGAGCCGCAAGAGAAAACATGAAGAGGAATCGGACTCAGAGTCCAGCTGGATCGATATCAACGACTCGGAATCGGAAATTGAAATCGAAACGGACTCGGAGGAGGAGATTGATGAGGAAGAAGAAGAAGATGAGGAAAATGAACAAGAATTGGACGAAAATGAAGAGGAAATGGAGGAAGTAGAGGGCGAAGAGAGTGAAGAGGAAGAGGAGAGCGAGGAGGACGAAGAGGAAGAGGAAAAGAAACCGAAAAGAGTCAGATTCAGCAAGGCCGAGAAGAAGAAGGTGAAGAAATTGGAAAAGGTAAGGATTTTTGGATGTGGAAATGGGAATATGGGTGATTTACGGGGGTTTTGGGGCAGGTAGAGGTTTTTGGAATAGGTTTTGAGAGGACTGGAGATGATTTTTGGAGGGTTGGGATATTACTTTAGGCAGAATTTGGATAAATTTTGATTTTTTTGTCTAAAAATTTGGGATTTTGATGTAAAATGGCCTCTGTGGACTCATAAAAATGCATTTTACAGTTTTATTTTTTTTTTGTAGTACGAAGAAAATATCATAATTTGGTTGTTTTTTTTTGTTAATATAATCAAGTGCAATATAATTTTTTTTTAAAATTTTGCTTCATGTTTCAAATTTCAGAAGCTCTCGGCCGAGGCTGCGTTGGCGAAGGCTCGTATTGTGTCGGAAAGCAGGATTCTCACCGATGACGACTTCAAAAAAATCAAGGCCCATCAAATTCGAAAACAATTGGCGGCCGCAAACCCGAATTTCAAAAATAAAAAATTGACCAATGATGATATGAAACTGAAGGACGAAGTGGAAGAGATAATTGGCAAACGATCAGAAGGCGCTTCCCTGCCTAGTCTTGGCGATATCACACATTTCCATAAGAAAATGAGGAGACAGACCAAGGCCGAAAGATTGGAACAAATCAAGGAAGGAAGAGGTGATAAGGACATGTACAAGAAGAGAAAGAAGAATGTAAGTGGTGGAGGAGAGGATTGAAAAGTTTGGGAAGGGCTGGTTTGGGAAAAGAGACCAGTTTTTGAGATTTGGGATGTTCAACATGAGGAGTAGATGAATTTTGATGAGAAAAGTAAATTTTTGGGAGTGAAACGGATTGTGGAGAGTATGTAAAGCGATTTTACACTATTTAAATTTTTTTTTGATGTGGTTTTGATGCAAATGAGGGAGGATTTTATATTATTTTAGGTAGGGTGTCGTAAAATTAAGACTTTTTTAATAATAAAACGGGTGTGAAATGGATGAAAACGTTTTATTTTTGGTAAAATACGTCAACCCGCATGAAGTATTTCAATTTGTTTTGTGCTTTGACATTTTTTTCGATGATTTTTTAATACGATTTTTATAAAAAGTTAAAAGTTTCATCAAGTATAATATAACTTTTTTCGAATTTCAGGGTCCCCATGTCGGCCGAACCAACGAAAACCTCGCGAAACGCAAGAATTACCAGATGGTCCGTCAGAAGATCCGCGGAAAGAATCGCCAGCGCTCCTTCCGCGACCAACAACAGTCCCTCCGCAATTATTTGCTGAAACAAGCCGGAAGAAAGCCCGGAAATATGTAGAATGGAGATGATTTTGCATCATACTTTTGTTATTCGAGTTGTTGTTGAGCTGTTTCACACATTGTTTACCCACTTTTGTTGAATTTTTATGTTATGCTTGTTCTTGTTGAAGAAGGTAAAAAAAAGTTTATTTACTTTGATTCGATGGTCATTTTTTGAAGTGGTAAAAATATCGTCCTGGCTTATTTTGCAGTTTTTTTTGGAAATGCGACATATGAATTCAAGAGACCCGCGATCTGGTAAAAAAACTGAGGTTTTTCAATCAAAAATTGCCGAAAATTTTACATTTTTTGCAATTTTCTGGCACTTCTCTCTGTAAAACGGGCCTTTTACTCCCATTAAATTGCCTATACTCAATCTAGCTATGATTCAGCACCTTAAATTCAGTTGGATTTGGCTTGAAATATCTTTATTGCCATTTTAAATCACTCTTTAACCTTCCGAAAAACGATTAGATCAGCACTCTCTGGTTTTTTTTCGGCGGCGGAACAATGGCATGCTCCACGGACTGAGCGTACAGATGAGGGCCGTACTTGCGCAAGTAAACGAACTTCAAGATTTGCACTTTTTGCACATTCCTTGGACTTGGAACACAGACTTTGGGGTCGGCATTTATTGGGCAGGAAGTGATTCCAATCACCATCCGAGACTTGATGTAACGCCCGGCGCCATAGGAAGGGCTGAGGCGTTGAACGGTGTCCAGAGAACGGATAAACAGGGGCTGGTGGGTGTAGTTGTTGGCGCGGGCGTACTTCAACATCGCTGCATTGCTGACCTGAAAACGGAATAGCTTCGTAGCATGTGTTGGGTGTATTTTTTTTTATCAGGGAAGATTTCCAAGTGCGGCGTTGATGTTTTATTTAAATTTTGCATACTTGCTGTGCAAAGGTTTCATATCAACTCTTGAAAGTTTTAGCCCATGCTTTGCAGGGACAGCCAAGATATTCAACAATTTTTGCAATCGAGAGAATACGTAAAATAAGGAGAAAAATCTTTTACTACTGCCTTGCAGAAGTAATCGATATACGGTGTATTCGCCTGGCTGATCTCCTTATTTTACATATTCTCTCGCTTACAATTATTGTCTTATATCTTGGCTGTCCATGCAAAGTGCGAGCTAAAATTTTCAGGAATTGATCTGACCCCTATACACAGCTTGTATGCGAAATTTAAAGAAAATCGTTTTTTCAAACACTTACAACTTCAACAGCCTCTGGCAGTAGAGGCATCAGTCCACCGTAACCCTTGATTGGTCCGCGCACAAGAGCATCAACCTGCCCAAGAATAGCTTGAATTTCGATAGCCTCCGCACAGCTCTAAAATTATGTAATTTCATTTTTTGACTGAATAATTAAGCCTAAAAATTCCAAGATTTTGACGGTTACAGAAACTCACAACAATCAGCAGAACCACGAGAAGAAACTTCATTTCTGTGGCCGCAATTCCAAATGGGAACGATCGAAAGTGGTGGGACTGGGCCTCGAATTTACATCTAATGAGATGCATTAATGTGCAACGGGGCGAACGATCGTTTAATTGCTTTTAGGCATGATGAGGTGTTACATTGAAATATTAAAAATTCTGAAAATTATGCAAAGATGGAAACTGGCGAAAAAGTTATTGCAATGATTTTAGTGGGTACAGCGCCGGAGAATGTGTCGAGAATTTTTAGAGTCGACAAAAGTTTGGGTCAACACAAAATCGATCGATACGATCAAGGCGTAAGGAAGGTGGAGACCCGAAAAAATGTTATGCGAGGTTCGTACGAGGCCTGGTAAAGTCGTTGGCTTTGGGCGAACACTTGGCGGAGGCTTGGCGAAGACTGAAATTACGACTAGACATGGCTCCCGGGCCGGGCCGGCCTGGGCCGGGCCCGTCGGCCCGATTTCAGATCGGCCGGGCCGGCCGGACCATTTCCGGCCCGTGGGCCGGGCCGGCGTTTTGGCCCGGCCCGGCCCGGAATATTTAAAATCCAGAATCTCGAAGTGAAAATTGGGTTTGATAATGAAAATAAACGCTTTGTCAAGACACAATTGGTTTTTTAAAGGTTTCTTTGCTATGGAACACAGTATTTATCCATTTACATGATGATAGAAAAAAATTTGGTCATAAGGAGTTAGACTTGGGAAGACTTTCGTTTCAATGGGCCGGCCCGGGCCGGCCCGAAGCAAATTTAAAACGGGCCGGGCCGACGGAAAATTTGAAACGGGCCGGGCCGGCCGGAACCCTCCAGGCCGACGGGGCGGGCCGAGATTTTCGGCCCGGGCCGGCCGACGAGCCATGTCTAATTACGACCCACGGCATTCTGTACTTTTGGGATACAACCGATCTCCGCGACTTTTTCATTTTTTGTTCGGAATGCGCTTGCTTTCTCTCTACATATCTGGCTAGCCGTTTGTGCTCGAAGGCTAAAATTTGGCATGGATGGAGAGTAAAAAGCCGGCTTTCAGAAGATATACAGGGTCTTACAAAAAACGTGAAGGAAAGTGGAAGGCTATAACTTCCGGCGGAGGCGGCGCAGAGACTTCGTATTTGAAATATCTATTTTTAAAAGACATAAGTTTTTGTCTACGAAATAACAAGCTCTTAAAGTGCAAACTGAGGTCGCTACGACCTTCTGAAGTAGAGGCATCTCTACCCCTTTTTCGGTTGAAAATGATCGAGAAATTTCGAACTTTTTCGGTTGAAAATCACCAGGAAATGTCAGATTTTTTAGGCGTTTTCAACCGAAAGAGTCCGAAATTTCTCGATCATTTTCAACCGAAAAAACCTGGGGCCTGTCCCACTAACAAAGCGTAGCGCGAATCACGAATTGGAAGCGCGAAAAATCATGCAAAAGCGAGAGAGGTGAGAGAAAAAGCGGGCTCTCTCGGAAATCCGCGCTACGTTTTTTTGTGCAAAATACCGAAATTTTTTTACTTTTTTTGCCGTAACTCCTTTCAATGATGTCCGATTTACATGATTTTAAAAACCGTGAACAGAGGAGACCCACAGCTTCTAGAAAATGTAAATTTTGTTTGTTTTAACGCGGATTAAGATTCCCCGCCAAGACGAATTACAATTTCCTCATGGAGAATCGTGATTCGAAGTCATATTTTCAAAAAAACTTATCCTTACAAGGGATCGGCAAATAGTTGCAACCTGCTTTCTTAACGAAACATGTATCATTTGAAAGAGCATTAAAAATGGTGCACAGCGCAAAAAAAATTAGCTGCCTAAATTACCTTAGGGCATATATACGACCGCTTTTTGAAAGGGGTTATATGCGGCCAAAACGCCGGTTCCTTATATTACAGTAATCCTGGCGGTTTGAAATCGTCTTTATTAATTTCCTGGTATCCAAACACGTCTATTACGGTCGTTTTATGGCTTTAACAATCCTCGGTTATATGTTATTAGACATTACTGCTAGATACAGTAAATTGTAAATAAAACTAGGTTAAAGGGAAAATTGGAGCAAAAAGCTTTGGAAATACATTTATACGATCGTCGGGGTCATTCACAAACGAAAATTTCAAAATTGAAAATTTCTTATGTCCTACCCTTACCAATGGTTGGTCCACTGTGTCAGCAATAGTGTCTTTGGCCGATTTTACAATTTTATCTTCGTATTTTTTCGAAAAAAAGTATATTTATAGGCCTTAGTAAATTTAATTATCCTTCAGTAATCATAATCGGTCAGGTTACTGGCACAACACCCTTGTAATTATACGATAGTGACATACCCACTCTCACCACCATCAAATTGGTAGTCGTTTCAAAAAAAGTCGAAAACTCAGAAAAATTGCGTAGCCATGGATTCTGTCTGCGAAGTAACAAAAATTATTAAAAAATGTCAACATACCATGGTTTTGTGGCATATAAAAGACGAAACGCAAAATATTTACAGAGACCGGATTCGAAACCAGGACTCCCTGCGCCGGAAGTGGGCTTCCTACCACTCGGCCAACTGGACACAACTCTGTTGCCATTCCGAGAGCTTATAAAGCGAGGCGGAAATTAGGCTAAAATCTGTATTTTGGCCATAACTTTGTCCAAAGTGAATTTAGGCAGCTAATTCTTTTTGCGCTGTGAACTATTTTTAATGCTCTTTCAAATGATATAGGTTTCGTTAAGAAAGCAGGTTACAACTATTTGCCGATCCCTTGTTAGCTATTTATCGTAACTCCCAAAGCTTATATATGCGAATTTATCAACCCGAGCTGCCCTTCCCAAGCCCAATTTTTGGTCTCCTCTTGCCATATGAAAGCAACTTTTTTGTTATAAAACGAATTATGACAAGGGGTGACTAAAATTGGGTGTAAGAGGGGTAGTTTGGCTTGAATAGTTTGCTTCAACGTCTCTGAGGAATGAGTGGAGAATTTATCTATAATTTTTTTCCAAAACAAACCTTTTTGTCACCGAGCAAATTATGACAAGAGGAGACCAAACATTGGGCTTGGGAGGGGCAACTCGGGTTTATAAATTCGCATATGAGCTGTGGAAGTTACGATAAATAGCTAATGATAAGTTTTTTTTGAAAATATGACTTCGAATCACGATTCTCCATGAGGAAATTGTAATTCGTCTTGGCGGTGAGCCTTAATCCGCGTTAAAGCAAACAAAATTTACATTTTCTAGAAGCTGTGGGTCTCCTCTGCTCACGGCTTTCCTTCACGTTTTTTGTAAGACCCTGTAAATATTGTAAGGAATTTTTTGCGACCACTTTTTTGTAATCTGAGTTATTGCTAATGTGAGCTCTGTTTTCTTAACATTGAGTTAGTTTAAAAAAGAACGATATATTAATCGTTTTTCTAGAAAATTGGTTTGTAAAATTTTCAGTTTTACTTTGCGGTGTATTGATCTTCCTGATACCCCGTCTTCCAACTTTTCCAAATCTCCTCGCTGACGTTCATCCAATTACAGTAATCTAAAAGCCGCTGAATCACCGAACGCTCTTCGGCTTTGTCCGAACCCCGGACTCTCGTTAATTCCATTTATTAACCCCAACGGATTACAACGTGGCTGAGTAATCGTTCCTCGTCATTGAAATGCGTTTCCAACGATGATAGGGAAGCGGATTAGGGTGGGGTTGACTCACAAATTCATCGTCATGAGGGAACATTCGAAGGTCGTTTGAGTCTACAGTCGGTTTAACAGTGTAATACGGTCCGTCATCGGGCTTTAGCCACGATTAGAATAGGCATTACACATGGAGAAGATGAATGCTGTGTGCGAAGAATGCAGAGAACAGCCGGGGATTACTGTAGGACGAGTTTGGCCTGTTAAGATGAATATGTAAGTATAGTGCAAAGAAAAGGTAAAATTCACTATGCACGAACAGTCTAGTACTTTGAAAAAGCGGAGTAGTGAATGAAAGGATTTATATAGTCCATTGAATGGCGGACCGGTTTACTAGGCACTTTCTATGAATGGTAATGAAAAGATGGACCGTCGTGCATGCAGACAGATTTTACGAAAGACAGGAAAGAACTTTTTGGCCATGTCCTTGCCAATTTTTTGCAAAAAATAATTTTTTTACTAGTCCGTTTGCTGGTGTGATTTCGGTGACACTGTGAGAAAAAAATTTTCTTTTCACTGTGCAATAGGCTTTGCTGTGCTATCGCTTACACTTTGACTTTTTCTGCAACGCGAAAAATCACGTTTAAGCCGTTTTTGAACGGACTGAGAAGCGTGTCTGCAAACCGTGAGCTTGGAATCTAAAATGTAATATTTAAGGTGTTTCACAAAGAATGACTCATAAGTTCAAATTTGCGACGACGGCTTTTATGGCCTTCTTTTTGTGACTGCACAATAAACATATGCATGCAACCACAGGAAATATCACTGCTGCCTTCAAACAATGCGAGTGTAAAGTGAATGATGCGACATTTAACCAAAATCAAATCAAATTTCCTTGGCACGCCACCATCTTTTACACCATGGAATGAAACTCACGTATCATTGTTTTCCTCTTCCACAGTACTCAACGTTTAATTCGTTCTCATTCCTGTCACGTACGTACTGTCTAATAAGATTTGACTCATTCCGAAAATTGTCATACGACCTTGTTTTCGGAACAAAAAGGATGTAAACAGTTGGAGTGTGAATAAAAATTAGTGTTTTTTATTTTTAAGATTATGGGGTTAACAGGGAAGTACGTATCTACTCAAAGCGCGACGCTCAGATTTTCAGAATCGACTGAGATTTTTAGGTTCAAAAATTGGAAGAATATGCTAATTTTTTGCGAATTTTTTCGTGAAAATTTTTGTACCTATTCGTACCGTATAGAGTAATGTTTCCACAAAAAATCAATTTTTTCCGTATGCAACTGGAACAAATATGGCTAAAAGTGTTCTCTCGACCGCAGTGATTGTTGAATATCTGGACTGTCTCTGAAAAGCGTGAGCTACAATTTTTAGGAAATGACGCGAGCCGGTGCCCAAAATGTGTACAAAATTTACAGGGGAAGTACCCCAAGTGCGACGCTCAGATTTTCTTTAAATTTTGCACACGCGTCGGGCATACACTAAATATCAATTCCTGAATGTTTTAGCTTGCGCTTTACGGGCGCCGCCGAGATATTGAACGATTTTTGCCGCCGAGAGAGCATGCTAAACGTGGAGATCGGTCAGAAAGAAAAACGCTTTTTGGCCATCACTTTGGTAGTTTCGCGCGCAAAAGTTTGGTTTTTTGTAGAAACATTATCCTTTACAGTTGAAATAGGCATGAATAACTTTTCGTGCCGCAATTCGGCAAAAAGTCCTAAATTTTGGCCGACTTTCGATTTAAAAATCTCGGTTGTTTCTGCAAAGCGCGAGCTAGGATTCTCGCATATATCTTAGAAAAAATTATTCTAAATTTGTGCCAAGTTTCATCAAAATCTGAGCGTCGCACTTGGAGTCTCTCCTTGTAAGGACCAAATGACATCTGTATGGAAAAAACATTTTTTTTAATTTAAGCAATCTTTCAATTAGCTAGGCAAAGAAGCACTTTAAAAAAAGAAAACTGAAAGGTTGACATTTGAAAGGCAACGATCTTCAAGTTGAAAACAAAAACAACGACAAACTTGATGACGTCACGGGAAATCCGTCAATCTTCCGGAACTGAAACTAATCCTTTTTTTTAAATATTTTAAAATATTTCGTAGAAAGGTACTACGGAGTTCCTTCAAATTTTGTTTGAATATGTGTGACCAAAAAGAAAAAAAATCTATTTTATGCGGAGTTCATTTTTTTGGTCGAAATTTATATAGTATTTCGTCAAACAGGATGACATATTTTTTGTCCTGTAAGAAAAATAGTGCATTATTTCTCGACGTATTGGCTAAAAATGTGAAATAAAAAAAAATTTTTTTTGGCAAATCTTTGACATAGAGACCTCAATGGCCTCTGTAAATAGTACACTAAATAGCTCGCGTATGCCTCAGGAATTTTATTCCAAATTTTTACCGAGCCTCATAGTTTTTTGGATAATTTTTGCACAATTTATTTTTGGAAAAACGAAAAATTTCCTGTTTTTTTCAAATTACTCTGAGATTTTTGGGGCCAAAATATAAAAATATCTATTTTTTGACCTCTCATTTATATATGGACGTCATAAATTCCAAAAAAATAAGAACAAAATTCCACTTTTTTCAATGCGACTACAGACAATTGTTTTATCCAATTTGCCTACAAAAATTTCATGTTTTCGCATAATATATTATCCAGTAATCCAATCTTCACATGTTATTTTATTCCTGCCCTCGAGGCGTAACAAGATTTATAGCATTAACAGCTGGTTTCTCTACATTCGAATATAAAAAATACTTAATAACAGTAATTACAATTCTCTTTCAAACCGGCATTTTTACATGCGTCTCTGGTGGAGAATGCGCGGTAAAACAAACGATGGAGGTGTGGGGAGGGTAAGCAGTAATTATTAAATAGTTTTGGGTATCAGAGTGCGGCAAAAGGACTGTGACAAAATTTTGGAAATCTCAAATTTTTTTTGTAAATCGAAATTTTTGTTCTTGAAATCTCGAGGTGGATCTGGCAGCAACTACAAAAAAAAACATCAAAAAATTCGATAAACAGTCTTTACCGCACTTTCATGATGACAAATCGACAAAAAATATTCGAAATTGAGGAGAAGCTGATGAAAGAGTGCGCGGAAAGTGATAAAATGATGAGAAATAGACAATATTAGTGAGATCAGATGGTCATTGTATGTTTGCAACTGCATTTACAACGATTACACAAGAGATCTTGAAGCCGCACTGTGCGAAAAAATTTTTGTTTTTTGCACTGTGCAATGGAGAGGCCGGACCATTGCACAGTGCGTTTGGCGTTCAGCGACAAATTTCGCAAAAAGATGTGATTTTGACTGCACCGTGCGTTCCGTGGGAAAACCGCACAGTGAAATGAGAGTTGCGTTGTGCGACAAACTTTGCGACCAGAAATCGCACGTTTTTTTCAGCGACAAATGACCGTTAGTGCGGGTGCACAGTGCATTGAAGAGGTCATTTCATTGCACAGTGCAGAGAATTTGTTTCTCATCGCACAGTGCATTTCCGCATCGCGCGATCACAAAAGCCCATCGCACGGTGCAAAGACGGTTCAGAGACAAAAAACGGATCCTAATGTAGACTACAATTTCGAATATCAAAAAAAATATTTTTTTCGTCAATTGTCATCAAAACGTCATCATTTATTTGCGTCCAAAGCCTCGGGCCGCTTGATTGGCCAACTTCAGAAAGTTTTTGGATCGCTTGTCCAGGAACTGTAGCGAGTATTGGCTGTTCTTGGAGTCGTCCACGACTTTCATCGGTTTGAAGAGTGCCCGTTGTCCATCTTTCTCCACTTTTTCGGGGTAATTTAGGCGATCCAGGGCGTCTGCCAAATTCTCTGCGTCATGATGGACTAGGCTGTCGCGCAGACGCTCTTCCAGCTTGTGAGCGACTTCCTCGGCTTCCAGGAGTTCTGCGAGGGCGTAGAGTTTTTGTGTGTCTGAAAAATTTGCATATTAAAATTGGGAATTTTGAAATATTTTTTGTTCGTATAAAATGTCACCCCCTCTGGAATGATAGACAAATACGTAAATTATTCTCAATCTTGCAGCTGTGTTGTTTTCATGACTTCAGACTACTATAATATTAATAAAATATCTTCAATCCCCCGAATCTGACGCCCAATTTTTTTTGCAAACCCCAGACAAATACACAAACAAAGTTTCGGAATATTAAAACCCATGCATTTGTCCATATGGCCCCTATGGAGATGAATTTTAGGGAATCTTCGGTGGGGAAATGCAAATAATCTCGAATTTTTGATGAGTTCCTTCCGGTCTCGGGTCCAAAGGATTCATAGAGATGATTTTAGACACAGACGGGTACGATCTACCTCTATATGGTTAAAAAATTAAACTACAGTTTTTCTAGCAAGAGAAAAAAGCTTAAAACGTCTGAAAATTTGTATTGTACTAGCTGGTATTGAACTTGAAATTGCTGCTGACGCGGGTAAAGTGCGTAAATGAAAGACATGCGAGGTTGTAGCCCAAGATGTCTGTATCAAACACTAAAGAGTGCATTGCTCGCAAAACAAAAACCTTTTTACAACAAGCCTTCAAATTTAAGTCATCAAATTTTGACCTTACTGCCCAGAAATGCTCAAAGTTCAGTAGACAGTCAATTTCAAACGCTGAAACATGCACTATCCCTTTTTAAAGAAGGCCACGTAATTTGTGTCACAGTTCCCAAACACCCTCATCCATCCGCGTGTGCAAAATTACCTCCGGAAGTTGAATTAGCGCCGTGTGTTGAATAAATTATTGTTTTGCAGTTTCAGCCTACTAATTGTTTATTTAAAACCACCCCAGCCTGCTATATATAGTACAGACAGTAGTGCTGGTTTTTTAATAGAAGCGGAACTTTCTATAATTGACGTCAAGACAGCGCTATTTTTGACGTTTTTTGGAAGAAATGGGTTGTTACTAGAGTAGAACGAGCTGTTGCTATAGTAATCTGTCATAAATTGGAGTGCAAAAGGCATTGCTAAGATGCTGGAGAGCCCCACGTATCTCTACCGTATACCATTAAATATAAAGGTCGGCATAATCGAAAAAAATGGAATTTTGGATTAACCCGCTTAGCCAGTGGCTTAATTCAGCGTCATATGCACGCAATAGCGCCGTATCAGAACAATCATGTTGGCGGCTAATCGCCGACTATTGTAATTGTAGCATAAATGTAATCGGCCTCGAAAGATAAGCCAATTACAGCGTGGATTATGCAATTTGGCTAATGAAAAGCAGGATAATACAATCAGCCAAGGTGATTCGGATGTAATTGGGTTAGGGAGGGCGATACGGTGAGGAATTTGCGTAAAAAATGGGCAATTTGTTAAAAAAATTGAGCTTGAAAGGAAAAATGAGCCGCACCGTGCAAAACAAAAATGACTGCACTGTGCAGTCGGGGAAAACGCCATAAGACGGAAAGAACTGCACTGTGCAGTAAACAGAAGCGAATGTCGCTAGAAATGGCCGCGAGATTGCACAGTGCAATCTTTTTCGATCGCACGGTGCAACAAAATTTGGAAACGGCACAGTGCAGTGAACAAACCACATCGCACGGTGCGGTCCCACTGGAACCTGGCACTGTGCAATGACCTCAAATAAAAAGTGAGTAAGACGTAAAACGCACTTTTAAAATCAAGTCCTATTTATCCATGCGGCCAAGAATCACTCCTAACTACCAGGAAACTGTCATGTGTGGTTCAAAGTGCTAGTCATGTTGTGTTTTGGTCAATTAAAATCAGTTCCCCAAAGGATTAGAGGCTTCCATTCCGAGTAGTAAACGGTAAATACTTGTTAATTACAGACTCCCGCGAAGACCAAAAATTCAAATTGGACGTTACGAAGAACAAGTTTCAGATGTTACGGTAGAATGAGAGAGGCTGCACTGTGCAAGAGAGAGGTGAGGTTATTGCACTGTGCGGCTGCGACAGCCAAGCCCAAAAAAGAATGATTGCACTGTGCAAAAAGAGGGTTTGCACTGTGCAATGAGATGCTTGCACTGTGCAATGAACAGAGCCGATTGCACCGTGCGGTGGCGACAAAACAAGTGAGCAGTCTGCACTGTGCAAAAATCCAAATGATTTTTTGCACAGTGCAATCGTCCCACTGCACAGTGCAGACGCTATTTCGAAACAATTACCGGATCAAAACGGGTTGTAAATAGTATAATAATAGCGTAAAGTTTACATATTCGTCCCGACTAATCCGCTGCGACAGGAATCTCATGACTTTCTCCTATTCTTACTGCAATAATCCCATGACATTTCGAGACTTTCGGGATGCCAGAGTAAACACCTACCCTGTTCCGAAGATACCATCGGCTTCCCAATGACGCTGCTTGCAAGCACTGTGCAGACGACCAAAATTGAAGAGATCATGGTGTGATTTCTGGGAAGATTAACCCTTTCGGGAGTAGTTTGAGATGATCTTTGGTGATTTCTCCTCAGGACAAATAGGGTGTAGTGTCTGAAAAACAAGGGAATGTAGCAATAAAAACAAGTTTGTGAAATTTCACGGACACGCAGAAAGTAATAATCGCAATAAAAAACAAAGAATATACAAAAAAACTCAAAAAAATTCGCGGACTGACTGTAGAACATATAGAGCAGTTAAAATACGGGTAATATGGTAATTATAATTCTATACAAGACGATATTTCATCAAAAAAATCAAAAAATTTCGAAAAATCTGAAAAACAACACATCTCTAAAATGTCTCCAAAATTGTAATAAACTGAAAATACACCTCCCATACCGCATATACAACTTGTTTTGATCTATATTGCACCGCGCGAACCCGCTTAATTGGCCCGTTTTACTCTTCCGGCTTCCGAAACGAATAACACAAGTCTGACAACTTGTTATGCCTTTTGCATACGTCCAAATGGCCTCCGAATATGTTGAGGAAATTGACACCACCTCATCCAGTCTCATCAAAAACTATTTTAGACATATTATCTTCGCAGTTTCAAGGCCTCTTCGCAGGCTCCGCCCCCTTTTTTCTGGATTGAGAATGCCCCGAGGCGGGGTTAGAAAGCAGCGCGAAAGTACGTGGAATCGAGAGAAAATGGAGAGATAATTGCTGCTTTGTCTCGCAAGGTTACGGTAGGATTACAATTTGAAGGGCTTTCGAGGTACAACAAAAACAAGATTGTTGTAAAGAACGCACTGTGCAAAACATTATGTTTGTTGCAAAAAAGGTCGAAGATTTGGGACAAAAATTGGCACAAGTATATGACATTGCTTGCCAAAACAAGTAGTAAATTCTCAGCTTGCGATTGGCGAGAAAAATCAAATTTTTCTCTATTTACTAAAAAACTGAAAAAAATATTAATTTTGCAATTTTTTGCGACTTTGGAGCTCAAATATTTTATAGTTGTTTGTCTCGATGAATAGAATTCAGTGTAAAATGAGAAAATCATCGCATGTTGTCCAGATTGCGTGGCAATTTAAAACAAATAGTAATAAAACAGCGAAGGTTGTCTCGCACCGTGCAAAAGAAAAGAAAAATTGATTTTGCACTGTGCGACATCGAAAAAGAAGGTGTGTGCACAGTGCAGTGGCAAGAACAGGCAAAAATGATGATCGCACTGTGCAAAAAGCACAAAATGAGGTTTTGCAATGGCCGCACTGTGCTTAAAAAAGGGTCTTCGCACCGTGCAATGGCAATTATAATAGCATTACAGAAACTGATAAAATTACAGGGTAATTTGCGGGGAAGCGGAGGAAAATGGGCACTCTGTAATCAGGAGTCTATATTTTACCAGCTTTATACGAATATTACGCGCTGAAAGGCCATTTTGTATTATACTTGATATTAAGAAATAAAAAAAAGTACCAGCTCAAAACAAAATGGTAAAACTTCGCTTTGATGTGTAAAATGACGCCAATTGGAACAATGTTGTGTGTAGTGTTCGGGTTCTTCTTATGATGCCCTTAGGCAATATTAGCGGCAAAAACATTGGAAAGCGTTGGAGCGCCGGTCGAGAGTTTGTCCCAAGGGGAAATTATAAAAAATTAATGAACGTGGCTCTTGTAAACTTTACACCTGGATGCAGCGATTTGCTGAATTGACTGAGAGGGGAAGCACTCCAAGTGCGACGCTCAGATTTTGGGGAAACTTGGCACAAATTTAGAATAATTTTTTCTAAGAAATATGCGAGAATCCTAACTCGCGCTTTGCAGAAACAACCGAGATTTTTAGAACGAAAGTCGGCCAAAATTTAGGACTTTTTGCCGAATTTCAGCACGGAAAGTTTCATGCCTATTTCTACCGTAAAGGATGACGTTCCTACAAAAAATCAAACTTTTGCGCGCGAAACTACCAAAGTTATGGCCAAAAGGCGTTTTTCTTTCTGACCGATCTCCACGTTTTGCATGCTCTCTCTGCGGCTAAAACCGTTCAATATCTCGGCGGCCGCAGGAAAGGGCGAGCTAAAACTTTCAGGAATTGATATTTAGTCCAACGCGAGTGCAAAATTTAACAAGGAAAGTACTTCTATGGGGTGTGGAATTACCGGTCGAGATATATATCAAAAAATTCGCAAAAATTTTCTGATTCAGAATATATATAAATTAGCTGCCTAATTTTGGTCTAATGACATGTTTTTGTCCTCAGAAGTTTTCTCGCGACACCATGCAAGTGTCTTTTTGACCGTGTTTTTACCAATAAAAAAAATTTGTTTTATGCTAAACTAAATTCTGAGGCCATGACAAGCCTTAAAATATCAAATTGGATTACAACTACACCTTAAAAGTAGTTCCAATGTAAAAAATGGGTTCTAGTGTGGCAAAAAGAATCGAACCCGTTTCCCCGGATTTCCAACCCAGCGCTCTAACCACTCGGCCACACCGCTCTCTTCCGAAGGAAGAGACCGAGCGCGCTTTTGTTGCCGCAGATTTTTTCCTCGAGAGAAACATTTATTGAAAAAACTCGCTGATAGACCAAAATTAGGCAGCTAATTTATATATATTCTGAATCAGAAAATTTTTGCGATTTTTTTGATATATATCTCGACCGGTAATTCCACACCCCATAGAAGTACTTTCCTTGTAAAGAAAATCTGAGCGTCGCACTTGGAGTACTTCCCGTGTGAGATTTTTTAATTTTGGCGGGAGAATTTATTTTCGAAAAATTCAAGCCGGGAAAATGAAAAGTTCAGAAGAAAATGAAATATTTTTTATACAGGTGAAAAAAATATTTTTTTATTTTATGCATTATTAATATTGATTTTTTTTGACATTTTTCAATTTGAAATTTTTGGCGGGAAATGAGAAGCTCAAATTTTTTAAATTTATTTAAAATAAAAAATTTTTTTAGCGGTTTCTGCGTAACGCGGTTTAAAAAATTAGCAATTTATTTGTACAACTTAAACTCAATGTGTTTTAATTTCATCAAAATCAAATACTACGCCTTTTCATAGACCTTTTTTAGCATGGCTTTTTGCACTGTGCAACGCTGTTTTCAACTGTGTCGCAGGCCCGAAAACAACTGCAAAGTGCAAAAAGAAGTAAAGTGCACTGTAAAAAAAGTCTACGCACTTCTGAGAAAGCGATATATTGTAGTACCTGCACTTTGAGAATCCCCCGTTTTTCCCCCTGTAGCCACGTTCATACACCCTCACTTTTCTCCTGTTTGCCCCCACTCCTCCCATAAAATTAATGTGGCATTGTTGTTATGCGCATTCGACAGCAGCTCGGGCATGTGATGAATTGAATTTCAGAGTTTTGTAGTATGATGAATTTTTAAGACGGGAGCGAAAGCAAAAACTCAAAAAACGCGTATTCTGCAGGTTATTATATTATTTGCCGGGTGTTCCCGATAAACTTTAACGGTTTAAAAACCAATGGTCATAAAGTCAGACTTCCAAATTTTATTTTCTGTTGATATATAAGAGTGAAGGAATAAGAGTGGAAAAAATCTTCTGAAAAAAATGCTTCAGCCTCTTTCCTTTTCGTTCGGAAGAGTGTGTTTACGAACTCTTCCCATTCGGGAAAGAATCTGAGAGGCGGAAAGAGTCTCGAGCAGACGCTCCCGCCATCAAGGTGGGGGAAGAGTGTGGGTCGAGACTCTTTCCGCCTATTGGCTCCGCCCACTTCTGAAGGATTTTGGGGAAAAATGGCGAATTGAAATGTTGCCATTTAGTAAATAAAGCACTGTTCTTTTCAAATATACGATGTTTTTTACATTTTTTCTTTGACAACAAAGTTTGGACAGTACAGTCTAACACTCTTCGTTCATTTTCTATAAAATAAATGAATAACTAATCTTTAATAAAAATAAATAAAGGCGTCTAAGAAACAGATATCGGAGAAATCAGATATAATATATAAATCTGATATAAAGAAGGTCACAAAAATGTAATTCAGGTAACAGAGATAATAAACCATGGTGGCTGAATTGTAATAGGAATAATAGCCGGAAAGTTGTGCACTTTTTCGCGTACCTATGGGGTTGTTGAACGGCTGGCTGCGAATGCATTCGGTTAGTCGCCGGGACCAAACAGTCTTGCGCATAGGAGGGGTCCAGAAGATCACGTGTTTCTCATTAGTAGACCACATCTGTAATCGGATTGATGAAGACGGTGTGGTGGTTGAATATTTCCGAAATCAACAACGCAAAACAGAAGAAAAGAACTTACCATCTTTCAAGCCGATGAAGAGGGACTTCATTTACTTCGTAAGCCGCATCATTATTATGCTTGTCCTCCACCTGAACTATTGAAACATCTCGCTGCACATGACGCGGAGATATTTCGGCTTAAACTTACCAATACTATCAACAATTTAACATTCTACGTACCTTTTCCGAGTCCAGACATTGGAGGCCGAATATAAGTCCATGATTTGCAGTAGATCCAGTTCAACCTCTTATGGGCGGTGTTTCCAGGCCTTCAGCAATCGCATATCAATCTTCGTCGTCCTTTTTTGGCATCAAAGTTGTTGGTAAAACTTCATTTCTCTAGCCCAAGCGAAAAAAAGGTTCCGCAGCTTGCGCCCGAACAATTTTCAGTCGTTTTGACCGAAGAAAAGTGGCCGACAACAATAGATGGAGGTGAACCTAGCTCATTGATGAATGATAGCGAATTTTGACGAAGAAGAGCGGACCGACGCGACGAAATGTAAGTTGCCTCATTTTGCTAGCCTGTTTACGTAATTTTAGGCCTAATCTTTCCTACTTGGCCAACTGCAAACTCCATATCTGAACTTGTTTTACACCTTTCAAGCCCACTTGATGTTCGACTTCAACAGTACGTGATCGCTACAGCGATGAATTCGGACGACTTTGTGAGTTAGAATTTTTTGTTTTTAACATTTTAGATATAAATGCGACAAGAAGAATTTGGTCTCCATGGATAAGGTACTCGTGATAGTTGATGAAGCTGGATCCAGCAATGACAGGGATATTCACCACTTGTTGAATGGAAAGTAAGTAACAGTTTCATAGACTTTTGAGGGAGAAGAAAGGGATTTTTGAGGCGTTTTTGGGCTTTTCAGCGGATTGGACCTAAAGTAATATTATTTTTTGTTTGTGCAGTTTTTTGTGAGTGATGAAATACCTAGGAGACGGAGAAAGAAAGTATGAATAGTGATTTAGTTGATATTTTTGAAATTTTTTGCAGGCCTACGTCAAAACCGAGATTTTTTGAAATTTTCAGGTATCTTTGTCTAAAATAAGGTAAAATGTGCAGTTTAGTGAGTGTTTGCAGGTGCGCCAATAATAAGTAGGACCGAGAGAGTTGTTTTGAGGAGTTTTGATGTTATTTTAGATGTAAAATTTTCGAAAAGTTACTAATTTTTCCAAATTCAGCCTCAATGTCCCAAAATTGCTCTGCCAATCTCAGTAACAACGGGGAAGAAAGGGAGACCGTGAATATGGAAACGAATGCCCATGGGCAGAATCCGCCGCGGCCCTCTACATCTAAATGTAACTCGATGTTACTTGTGTTGCACATAAATATATCTGTGAAACTTGTTCTGTAAATATTTTCTTAACCTTTGTGTTAACCAGGAATGTATCTGATTTTCAATTGAATCTTCAAATGACAGCCATAGTAAGGCTAGGCGTATCACAGTTCTAAAACAAATAAAAACATGCCCAAATCACCGGAATAATGAAAAGGCAAAAATTTTCACCCAAGACAACCGTTTTCTGCAAGAAAACCACCAACTCAGCGATTGGCTCAAAATCGAGGGGGCGGGGCTTATAAACGTCGGGAAGAGCCTGCTCGCAGACGCTTCCTCTAGAAGAGAAGAAAGAGTGTGACGGCAGACGCTTTCCCAAGTGGTGAGAATCTGCTCGAGACTCTTTCGACAAAAAAAGAAAGAGGCTGAAGCATTTTTTTCAGAAGATTTTTTTCGCTCTTATTCCTTCGCTCTTATATAATAATACAAAATGTGTTTTCAACTGAACCTATTTTGTGACAAATGATCAAGAACCAAGGGATATTACTCTAGGTTAGCAATTTGCAGGGCTTAAAAAAATGCCAACCCGGAAAAAGACATTTTCATTTAAAATTGCATTACTAATACTTGCAAACTTTACAAAAATTTTATTTTTGTCTTTATCCAGTGTGGGAACTAATCCCGTATTATTTAAAACGCGTTTTACTACAAATCGTAGATTGGCCCGGACATTGTTGAGTCGATGTCTCAGAATCAGACCAAATTTGGTCAACCGAATCACCAATCGGTATGAAACAATCACGTGAATTTTTTTTGCCCATAGTCGTTATATGGAGGATTACTGTAACTTTCTTTTAAAAATGTGTTTTGTATTTTTGTATTTGAATCGGATGATTTTATTAGAGATGAATCAGTCTGGATAAAAGAAATATAAAGGTGATCATATAAGAATTAAAAATTTGGTTTTCCCAAATCGCGATTTTCGGTGTACAAAAAAGTCAACGCTCAAATCGAAAAATTGGCGTCGACTTAATTTTTTCAGCACCGAATTCCGAAATGCGGTGCTGACTTAAGCACCTAAGTCTTCGGTGCAGGCTTAAGTCTTTGTGCACTGATTTCGAAAAACTTAGAAAAATTTATCGATTGGATTCCCAAAAAATATCTAATCATTACTTGGGGAATTGTGTCAAGGACGCCTGCGGTAGGGTAATTTTAAATTAACCCCTATATTGGCCGGGAATCGAACCCGGGTCGCCCGCGTGGCAGGCGAACTGAACTTTGGAAAAAAAAATTTTTGAATTGTAAATTTACAGCCCAAAAATTAAATGTAAATGCGGCATGCAAAATAAGTAATCAAAAAATTGAATTTTTATTTTTGATTTTTTTGAATTTTGAACTTTGGACTTCCCGCCACAAATTTACGATTAGAGGCAATTTGAAATGTTTTGAGAAAGTCTGAAAATTGTGATAGGGGAATACACAAATCTCAAATTTGATTTTTTCCTCGCTCATGAAGCTTCTGAAAAATGAAATTTTTCGATTTTTTAGGCATCTTTTAAATTTTCTTTGTTTATAAAAACTTTTTATTTTCACGTCAAAAAACTCAACAAATTTTTGTGGACTCAAAAACGCCGTTCTGGTCTAGCGACTCAAGTTTTTTATCAATAAATAATAGACTTGACGGGAAACTTGTGCCAGAAGAAATAACCGTCAAAAAGTCGAGAAATGGAATTTTTTCATTAATCAAAAAAAGAAGAAAAAAAGCAAAAAATTTCCTGATGTTTCTGGGGGCGTCTTATTATGGAGCCTAAATTATGGTCACGCTCTAACCCAAAATAAACCAAAAAAGATTGTCACGTGTTTCGTCAAGTAATTGTGGTAGTATCACCAGTTTTAGAAACAAAAAAAAAAGACAAGAAAAAATGCTTAATTTTAAAGATTTTTATACGCTAAAAAATAAAAAAAAAAATACCTTTTTCGTTGCGATTTTTTATTAGATGGATTGTCCTGAAATCCAGAACATCTAGGTCGGTATCTCATGCATTTCATTCTAATTCATTTTTATTTTTTAAAATAAAAATGAATTAGAATTAAATATTAAAATATTGACACTGATTTTTGTCCATTTTACTTTGGAATTCCCAGGTATTCCTCTCTTTCCCAGGTAATGTAAATTCATCAAAATTCGGGAATACGCAGGCGATTTTAAATGGGTTTATTAAAAATGATACATGGAAAGCGGCCAAACAACGAGCTTGTAACAGGAAAACAAAATCAGTGAAAAGAAAATTTTCATTGTTTTTATCCCAAAACGTGTAAATATGCAGGTTTTAAATGTAGTGGATTATCTTCCACTGAAATTAAAGGACTTCCAAAAGAAATATCAGTCTGTCGGGAAAATAATGAGCGCAACGTCGCTGATACTTTATCAATAGATAACCTCCGCAACAGCTAAGAAAACTTTTTGTCGAAATAAAAAGCAATCAAACCCATTTATTAATTTTTGCTTTAAATTCACCTTTCTTAATACCGTATTTTCAAAAATTCGATGTTTGCTCAGCACCGCCTACTGGTAACCTACCTCTGCAATTAGCGGTCTTTTCAGGTGAGTTTAGTCGGTTCAGTCAAAAAAATCCCGGAAATTGACGTCTTTTTGCGCAAAATTTACATTTTTTCTCCTAACTGGACATGATGGGAATAGCAAAGAATAGAATTTGCAACTGTTTGTTGTTACAATGGACTGAGTGATAAAAAAAAACTTTGGACAGTTAATTTAGTCGGTTCGGAAAAAAATAAAATTCTTTAACAGAGATAAATTCCCTAAAGGCAAGATTGAAAATGTAGCGGAAAGATTGTCGCTGATTGGAAAAGAACCAAGGGAAGCACTTTTTATTTTTTTCTGGCTACACAGTTTTTAATTTAATTTGATTTTTTTCCTAAAAATTAAATCTTGTTTTGGTTTCGATTGAAATTATTATATATATATATACAGGGTGCGCCAATAAAATCTGGAAAAACTAAATTCCATATAGCCTTTTTCGGATGGCCTGAGAACAGAAACTTTTAGCACTTTTAGAAAGGGTAACAACAGTGCTATATAGCAACGGTAATAACCAGGTCGATGCCTATTGCAAGACTGAAAAAATAATCAAAACTTTTTGGAGGTGCAGAAATTTTTTTTCTAGATGATGACTGGGGTATTAATTCTTCCATTATTTCTAATAATAGTCACTGACGTTCTTCAAATTTATTGTATATAAAGTACGTGGTGTTGTCTTTGTAACGGCCTACGGAACCAGGGTTGGTGGCCGATCTGGCGGCGCTGGTGGCGGAAACAAAAAAATACCCAGACATTTGGATTTTTGTGTTTTTAAGGATCTCAACGCCAGATTATAGCTCGTGTTGCTCCAAAATTCCGTGATTACAGAGCGTATACATAGCCAATTGTTATAGTGTAAAAGAAAATCCGCATATACAAGGGGACCGTTTTTGCATAAATAAAAGTTCATGGGGGGAATTCAAGGCACGGTCATTCGGAACTTGAAACGTTTTGGCAGTTTGCAACAAGTATGAAAGGCCTTGAGCGTAAAAATCAACATAGAGTTGTATACTGGATACATGCTGATGTAGCCAAAACACTTTTAGAAAAATCTAGTCCAAGATCACTCGAATAGCGAGCATATAGTAAATTATGCCACTACGGTCACTATTTCATCCCCAGAGGCAGTAGATAGAAAAATCCTTTTTGAAAGGCGACTAGGCTGACTCTGGTTATCCTTGCAAAAGTAGTTCTGGTGCTTAACATGTTTGGAATCACACAGGGAAACTTCTACATAAAAATCTTTGAATTAACGGAACTTCTCGGGAAAAAGGGCCCGTTTTTAAGCCAACTTTGGCAAGCTGTAAAAAGCCTAAT